CATTCATAAATGCATAATCGAGTATGGAGAGCCATGTTAAATTTAAACTAATATAAAGATCTATATAGCAAAATGTTTACATTTACAACTTGATTTATAGTATATCAATAATTATTTCTACAGAGTGATTCATAATTACGTCGTGACTCAAGCTTACTGTTTTTTAAATACAGTTTATTGCAGATTCGGATAGGCGCTGCCAAACATAGCAATTTAATATATCATACTATGGGGTTCTATTTTCAAATTGTTGAGATATTGGTAAATCTATCGAAAAAAAACACTCTGAAAACTCGCGCCTCCGCAATTATAGCTAGAGCTGAATTTTTAGTTAGAAGTAGCAGCATATTTAGCTATAAAGTTAACATGACATGTAAAACGAAAACTTGCATAGTTAAGTCACAATAAACGTGAATGTAATACAGAGTGGGTTTGTTGCGTCACACTATAAACAAAAACATGATAAAAAATACAAGTTCGTTATGACTAGATTATATAGGCAATAGGCTAACTAATTTTTGTTATAGTAGTGGTTAAAATCAACATTTTTCCTGACTTTATTTATAGTCGGATTTTATAATATGCACATTAACTTTACAACTGTTTCTCTTCGACAAGGAGGCATGACTAGATTTTCAATATGACGTGTCGTTTCTCGCCCTCCAGCATCATCTTTATTTTTTCTTATAGCTGCCATATGGGATTTTTGCATGTAAATGTAAATACGTCATACATTGATATTGTCAAATCTTAGTTATTTCAAAAATAACAGAATTTTCTAGGTTTCGCATACCAAATTTATCCCAAAATCACTTTTATTTTTTCTTGACTTTATTTGGGATGGGATTTTGAAATAAACTAAAATAAGATGGCGTTGTCAAATCTTCAATTCGACATTTAGTGTTTTGATTTCCATCACCAACTTTGTTTTTCATATGGAATTTTGTAGATTCAAATTGACTTTCAGTGTTGTATTTTCCTGGTTAACCATGGAATAGAAATTATTTCAGTAATTTTATTTTTATTCAGGATAAATGTAATGCCATAATTTCTCCCTATCTACTTACTTATTCAATTTTTTCTTTAGTTTATACAGGGTGCTCAAGAACGCAAAATAAACGATTTTTTAAAATTTTCAAATTGAACACCCTGTATATTTTCACACTTTTTGATTCCCCTTTCCATTTGCATATACACAAATTTTAACCGTCTTCCGTTACTAACTGTCTTTATTTTGACAGTTATTGTAATATTTTTCCTTTAACTTGGAATCTGATTTACAAAAAGGTTGACCGTGGCTCAAGAACAAACTCCCATATATGTTATATCGAAAAAAAAGCCTGCGAGAAGAGGAACCAAAATATGTGGAAATATACAGGGAGTTTCATTTGAAAATTAACACAAAATTAAAAGTATAACTAGATAGCAAGAAAATATGCGATCATGAAATGTTCCTGAAGGAAAACATATACCAGTTTGATATCATAGTTGCTATTGTTCATCAACGAACTACGCCACTGTGTTTGTGGTACCAGACGCAGTCAACGGCAGCCGATGATCAGTGAAATTCAACTCATTTTCGGAATCTACAGGTCATTACCTCCCGTTCCAACGAGATTTATTATTTGTTGTCTCTCGTCTTATTTTTACTGGAAGAACTTACGTATCTCATTTTTATTTCCACCACATGCCACTCTTCTGTATGACAAGATATATTTTTAAGTTTCTTAGTAATTATTTCTATAATTATGACTGTGAATGAAGCATAGGCGAGGAAAATGAATATTCCTGATTGCAAACGTTATTGCACATGAGATAATGCGTCTTTTATACTGCATGGTCTCTGAATTATCAACACTCACACGCAAGGGAAGTATCATCCCCACAAGCTCTAAACCTGCCATGGGGGTGCCAAAAAGCACAATAAGGAACCAAGTCAAAGAATGGGTAAGAAACCAGCACAAGGAATATTTGCACTTAGTGACTGGACGCAGTATTAATACCACGACAAGACATTACAATAAAATATAGATTACTTCTATACAGGGTGACTTTGAAGTTGAGTCATTAATTTTCAGATAATGATTGTAGAAGGAAGATAAACCAAAATATGTGTGTAAAAATAGAAAAAAAATTAAAAAAAAATTTTTACCTTGTTTTATAAAGTATCCTCCCGACAAGTATTTCAGTGCGGACCTGTATTTGATCGTGAGGTCTTGGAGCACCGGCATGCCCTCTCCTGTGAGGTCTTAAGTCACCTGATTCACGAGCCCGTTGTACTACATTAACAAAGGCACGAGGGGTTGGTTGCACTCGATTGGGAAACCGATCCGCATAAACATGTGCCATTTTTTATTTCGTTTGAGCCACGCAACAGACACCACTATTCACTCACGCGTTACCGACTGACACATCGACTGAATAAAAACATCGTGATCAGCGTTTCAAATTCTTTCGCTTTTTTGTTTCCGATGGGATGAACCGATAAGGCGGATTATATCCGTTGTTGCCAAACACGAGCACATAATATTATTATTGAGACAGGGCGGTACTCAAACTTCTAAAGGGCTATAACTTTGTTACTTTAATTTTACCAGAAAAATGTTAAAGGAAAAAAACATTTCTTTTGATCAGATCTACTCACTGTTAAAATAAATGACTCAACTTCGAAGTCACCCTGTATATTCAGCCGGAGTGCGTTCAATTAATAATTGGCTGATACCTTCAACTTAGTTATTATGTTTCCATTATCCGACATAGTGAGGAATTTCATTTATAGATGGAATCGGAATATAGTTTAAATAATTTCCAAGAGCAGAGCCCACCCTGTACACATTAGAAAACTATTCAAAAAGGACTGTATGTATTTATATGGACCAATCTATTTCTTTTGATATGCAGTAAAATATGTTTTTAAAATATTTTTTCAAAGCTTAATAATACCGAATGTATGAATCAGAACATTTTTTCTTTCTTTGTAAAGTAGGCGTTTGCCTAAAGCATTGTTTCATATAGTTTTGAAGATCAATGAGCTCCTGGATGCTGGTCCTCAAATCTTGTAGGATCCTTGGATGCGTGATATAAACACGATATTTCGAAAAGCCCCATAGAAAAAAATCACAAGGTGCTAAATCGGGAGAGCGGGCCGGCCACTCCGAATCGGCCATCGATGCCGGGTAAAAAATCCAGCCTTACGTACCGGTCCGAATTCACTGTCGCTGCGACTACATATTCCTCAAATATACTAAGTGACATATAAATCCGAACACCCAGTTTAAATGGTTTTATTTTCAATGTCCTCCTGTGGTGTCTCATTCCAGGCAACCACCAACTCCTCTCGAAGTGCTTCTAGAGTCTGAGGAGGACGATGCAAATTAAGCAATCTCCTACCCATCATATCCCACACGTGCTCAATTGGGGATAAGTCGGGAGATCTTGGTGGTCATGGTACCAATGTGACATCATTATGTTGAAAGAAGTCTATTGTGACTCTTGCAACATGTGGTCGGGCATTATCTTGTTGGAAAGTTGGATCTGCCAGGGTCTCAAGATAGGGTAAAAGATGGGGTTCTGGAACTTGTGGATATAACGCTGCGCGTTCATGTTACCTCTGATGAAGATTAAAGGTGACCTGGAACCATAAGCTATAGCACCCCAAACCATAACTCCAACAGTGTGATGAACATGTCTTTCAACAAAAAACTGTGGATTCCTCCTTTCACCACGTCGCCTTCTAACCCTGGCACGACCATCGTGCATGCCCAAACAAAATCGAGACTCGTCACTAAAGACAATACTGTTCCATTCCTGATCCCAGAGTGACCGTTGTCTGCACCACTCAAGGCGATTACGTCGGTGTTCTCGAGTTAAAGGGAGGACCAACTTCTCATTCGTCGGTAAACACTTCGCATGCCAATAGATCTTCCGTGTTCTGCAAACCATTCATTTGCAATGGACCTGGTAGTAGAGAAACGGTCCCTCAAGGCTAATAATCTTAGGCGGCGATCTTCACGGTCTGTTGTTCTACGGCGGCGTCCAGTGCCCCTTGCTCTTTGCGTACGGCCTTCTCGAAGCCATGCCTGACAACACCTAACCACAGTGTCTACACTTCTTTGACTCTAACTGCAATTGCCAGAAAAGAAAGTCCAGCTTCCCGAAGTCCCACTATACGGCCCCTATCAAACTCACTAAGTTGACGAAATCGTACAGGTCTCCGTACTCTAGGTATCGTAACCGATCGTAAAGGATGTCAAGAACCAAAATCCGCCAACGTTGATTCTTTACTGCGGCTGAAATATTCATTTTTAGAGCGTTAGTGAATTAAAAAAAAGCAGTATAAAAACCAGAATGTCCAACTGATAAGGCTGAAAATTTTTTCACTTGTTATTTACAGTAAGATAAATACATTCACCAACTTTTATTAAAATAAAACCATTTAAACTGGGTGTTCGGATTTATATGTCACTTAGTATAATCAGGGAGCAATAATTACAACTGAGGACATTGCAAAGGCCTTTGATGAATTTCCGAGGACTGGTATCAGTCCAGTAGTGCGTGTTTTGTTTTTTGATGGATCCACACAAATGAAAATGGGTCTCATCATCAAGAGAAAAAGCTTCATCAGGAACGACTTCGAGGAGACGCTCAAACGCTTTCATCCGAGAATATTAAAAACATGTTCAGGAAGTTCCTGCACAATTGACATCTTGTAGGAATGAAAATGACAAAGAAGTCACTTCACAGAACGATCGGAATGTCCACTGGCAGACCATATAGTCGCTCCTCTCGAACGAGACCACTATCAACCGACTGAAAGGCGTGCATTCTAAAAAGGAAAGCTAATCTGCCGCACCCTGTACATCAATCCAGAGCAACGCCGTAATTCACGCACTATTATCCTACCCTGTATACGTATTTATTGCTCATTATTAAGTTATACGTCTGTTACAATTAATACTAAGCGTATGTAGAACATCTTGCAGTGAATCAGACCTACTTACAGATTTACTACGAAGGGATGTCTGATTTCTTGTAAAACATGTTTTTCATTCTTCACGTGTTCTACTTGTTTCAGTCTTATAACGTCAGCTAAACACAGTACTTTCATCGCACCATGTTTGCCTGTGTCTTTGTTTCTGCACAGCAGCACCCTGCCAAACGTGCCTGTACCTGGAACAGAAAAGACATCATTTGTAAATACAATTACAAATTACAAAATTACAGATTTATCATTTCTCTAGCATAAGTCATAACACTGGCAGGAATAATCAACCTAAGAATATTAAAATAAGAAAATCGTTTTCTTAAACCTACAGCACCACATGGAAGTATATGATGTAATCAGACAGCTGTCACCAAAATATTCAACTGGTATGGATGAGATCGATACAAATGTAGTGAAAAAAAGTTACGGACGTCACCCTATTGGGAGCTATACAACTCGTTCCTCAGAGAGTTCCCCAATATTCCCACACATCCACGGTCCTGGAAGCATTGTCTTCAGGACGGAGGAAAAGGTTGAGGTATTCGCCGATGCCATGGAAAGACAATTCTCTCCCAATTATGATCTTGATAATGACCGCGACGAGGAGCAACACATCGTAAGATCTGTCAGGGGATATTTTAGGGCCAACGGCTCAGTGACAGTCGCGCTACTGTTGGTGATTTTTCTTCATCAGAAGATTCTTCTTCAGAAGCTTCCTCAACCGAAGATCTGCTTAGCACATCAGGGGAATCTCCAGAGATCCCGCATTGCACACCAGCAGAGATTCAAGGTCATATTAAAGACCTTAAAGTGCGCAGAACACCTGGGGAGGATCAAATCTCTAATAAGGCGCTGAAGCTGCTTTCGCGGAAGTCCTTAACTTATCTTGTGGCAATAGTCAATGCCATGCTAAGGACCCAGTACTTCCAATCCATTCCAAAGAAAGGTGGGTTCGATATTTCCCCAGGATTATCATCCCATTAGCCTCTTGTCAGCTCCGTCTAAGCTCGCTGAAAAGGTGATTCTACATCTACCTTATCGATATGCAATTTGACAGAAGCTGTCAAAGGTCTCTGAATATTAGTGATTTCTATTGAAATATTGAATAAAATCGTGAAAATTCGACTGTATTATAAACAAGACCACTTTTTGATTCCAACATGATGCTTTTGTACAGAAAAAATAGGACAACTTTCATGTATTTTGATATATGTTATAGGTTTACATTTAACAATCGGTTATCCCCCTCAGCGAATGGGAATGCGGCAAATAATAGGTCGATTCTCTAGCTGTTAAATTTGGCAGCAGATTTGGACGTTTGTTAATGCATGGCACTCTCGAATTTACCAACTTCAATATACTGAAAGTTATCATTACATACCTGTTGAATAGTGTGGATTTGTCTGTATTCTGCAAGAAAATAATAATATAAAATACATTCCATCCGATTCCTCATCTTCCTTTACGTCATAATAGTAATCATTTATTAATTTATGGGTTAATGAATTTCGTCAAAGCAATAAAAACATTATGTCCTCTCCATCCTAAAACACAGATATGTGTAGGACGTGTCAATCCCTACTTCTCCCTGATGCGTAATGCAATTACTATGGATATAGACAAAAAATTATGAAAAATGTTTCACAAATAATGTCTTTTAAGCCCAAAAATCGTAAAAACTAGTAATGCTTAATGTTTGTCTTTTTGACTGGCGCACTGGCGGGGATATCTATCTGTCACTCGCAGGGTTGCCAAGTCTAACGACGATCACGTCCCGTGGTGGAGGGTGCCAAATGAATCTTTTACATTTGCTGGTTTTGAATTTTTTTTCGTGAAAATATACTAGGTATCATGAGATGAGATGAGATTTTGTACAATTTGTTGCAAAATGATGAAAGATATGTCTGATTTGGCAGGGTAATGTCGCAACCAAATGGCAATCACTCTTTCTGACACAGTCCGGATCGAAAGATGACGATACTCGTGAAATGTATTGATACTTCTAAATATAGGATCGTATCGAACATCCCTACTGTCAAGATGTATAACCCAAGGTACCGACGGAGCTACTTTGCGGCGTCATGGAAATAATACATTTTCATTTGCATTTTTTCAAGTATTGTGCAATGATTTTGGGAAAAATGTCACGAATAATCTCATAAACCATAGTAGAGTATATTTCAACAGTTGGCGGAACTTACTCCACTGGGACCAGGAGGGTGAAGCGGGATATTAATGCACAATCTGGCAACCCTGTCGCACCCTCACAAAATGGCCGCTGACAACCACACAAGTCACAGTGTTGTCATTGAATAGCATGGAATTAAACCTTCTTCAGAGTATATGTTTTGTGACTGGGACCAAGGGTTGACAGATCCCACACATGTGTCACTCGATGAGTCTTGAAATGCCATAATCAGCTGTATTCAAATATTGTCTAATATAAATATAACCTAGAATGTGTAAAAAAGAAAAATATGGTAAATTTGTAGTTTTTTTGCAGGTTTTAGGTTTGCTGGTAGATTTAAGGCATATATTTGGGAATTTCTTAATCGCTGTGCATATAGTGTGGATGTTTGTTCAGTTCCTGAACAATGAAAAATATTCAACTTTATGGATGTATGGATATCAAAAAACCTGAATGGTTTTGTGGGAATATCGGTCTGTTGTTGGTGAAATTTGGCCTAAGGTTATGAATTACTTATAGGGATCTCCTAATCGAGATATCTCATAAATACATAAATGTTGCAGCCTTGACGCCCTACAACCATATTGAAATTTTTAACTTTTGTGTCAAAATAAAATGGAATCAACGGATATTTTTAACAACAAGGTACATCACTGATTAAGAAAACGTGCGATCGCAGGTATCTTCTTTTGGCTGAGTAGGCTATCTGTATATTTCAAATGTTTCGCATAAAATTTGTTTTGAGGAGTGTATGTATGTAGGTCTACAATTGTGCAACGATATAAATCAAACTTAAATTTAAGATCTAAGTAGGCCGTTTTGAACTATTTTTGCTTCGCGTATGTAGCGTGCCAATTTTATAATACAGAAACTAGAGCTATAGCAAGTAGATTTGATTTATAACAAACATGCCAGCAGTGCATAACAGTTTGGTTTATCAAATTTAGAAATAACCATTCATTACTAAGTTCATAAACTTTGCGGCGTGAGAAACAAGCGTAAAATAAATGATGAACACCAAAAATACGGCTGTTGTGGTCTGAAACTTGGTAAAAGTAAAATGCGCGTTCGGCAATTGCAAAATAGTTATTTATCTAACAAGTGCTGAAAATACACTTTCCGTAAGTGTTAGGTATAAGATTTTTTGTACTTTCCGCACGCTGGTAGAAAAAATATGTTTCCTTCTGAACCTTTGTGTACATAATAGAAGTATTCGAAGTTGCCCAGTTTGAGTTATAATTCAGATAAATAATGCAATAATCAACGAGTTATTTTTGTTAAATTGAAAGGGGAGAAATAACCGAACGCAAAAATTTTCCTCAATATGGAATTGGCATCCATATCACTGTGGGAGCATAATATGTACAGTGTTTGTCCGGAAAGTAATAGGACACATTTTCTTCCGCTATGACTGTGCTTCGCAGCATGCGCGCACCGACGAGTGAAAACAGTCTTGTGGCTATTCAGCCTCCTTATTCGCATGACTCGATTCCTTGTGACTTTTTTCGTTGCCGAAATTGAAAAATAGTCTCAAGGAAACGGCAGTAACCGATAAGGCTATTCCAGTATCGGAGTTCCAGCACTGCTATGGGGAGTGGAGGAACCGGTTCATTTTATTTCTCCAGTGTCTCACCGGCCTAACAACATACTTTATTGGTAATTTGAATTTTTATGCAAATTAATAATAACTTATTAGGCATAACTGAAATTTACATTGTTATGATCCAGTATAATAATGCCAATGCGACTAACGCCGTAGACAGGAATATAGTGTTGTTTGAATTTATGAGACCTATGCATTGATAAACACTCTAACGCCAAGCAATTGTGGACGCAAGTGTTACAATAATTAAAAGGCATGAATAAGATCGACATAGCAGTTGAATGTGTTAAGAGAACAAGGCAAAGAATAAATGAAATATGGAATTATATTACTTGTCAAACGACAGCAATATGTATACTAAGTGACATATAAATCCGAACACCCAGTTTAAATGGTTTTATGTTTAATAAAATTTTGTATAAGTACTTAATGAAGCATAATAAGTAAATGATAAAAATTTCAAAATTATTGCACTGGTTTAAAGCCCTTTGACCTTTAATAATGTGTGGATGCACCCTGATGTGCTACGCATTCTCCATGCATGCTTCTGATCAGGTGGTCAATGTCCACCTGTGGTATCTCATTCCAGGCAACTACCAACGCCTCTCGAAGTGCTTCTAGAGTCTGAGGAGGACGTTGCAAATTGAGCAATCTCCTACCCATCATATCCCACACGTGCTCAATTGGGGATAAGTCGGGAGATCTTGGTGGCCATGGTAACAATGTGACATCATTATGTTGAAAGAAGTCTATTGTGACTCTTGCAACATGTGGTCGGGCATTATCTTGTTGGAAAGTTGGATCTGCCAGGGTGTCAAGATAGGGTAAAAGATGGGGTTCTAGAACTTCGTGGATATAACGCTGCGCGTGCATGTTACCTCTGATGAAGATTAAAGGTGACCTGGAACCATAAGCTATAGCACCCCAAACCATAACTCCAACAGAGTGATGAACATGTCTTTCAACAAAAAACTGTGGATTCCTCCTTTCACCACGTCGCCTTCTAACCCTGGCACGACCATCGTGCATGCCTAAACAAAATCGAGACTCGTCACTAAAGACAATACTGTTCCATTCCTGATCCCAGAGTGACCGTTGTCTGCACCACTCAAGGCGGTTACGTCGGTGTTCTCGAGTTAAAGGGAGGACGCAGTGTGGCCGGTATGAAAACAAGCCAAAACTTCTCATTCGTCGGTAAACACTTCGCATGCCAATAGGTCTTTCGTGTTCTGCAAACCATTCATTTGCAATGGACCTGGTAGTGGTGAAACGGTCCCTTAAGGCCAATAATCTTAGGCGGCGATCTTCACGGTCTGTTGTTCTACGGCGGCG